GATAAAGATTTAAAAATTAATTTAATTGAAATTTCTATTGTATGAATCTTAAGCTTTTGGCATAAAATTTTTTTTGCAAGAAGAATAATTTGTTAATAGTAAAGTTGTTTGGTTCGTTTAAATGTTAGTATAGGGTTTTTTTTGAATTTTGAAGTATAAAATGATTCTTGCTAGAGTATATTTATTTATGTAATTTGATATAGAGTTTTCCAAAAAGTGGTCAAGATTTGGATGATTAATTTTAGAGTTTTTTATAGCTATCATTAAATATAGTTTAAATAATTGATAAAAGAATAGAAGGTGTGTTTAGAGCTTGATATAGAAAGATTATTCATTTGTATAAGTTGTTTTTCTATTTTTTGTGTCTGGTAGTAAAGTTTTTTAAAAGAAATAGATTGGTTAATATTGGTATAAAGATATTGATTAGATAGAAAAATTGATGAATTAAGAGTAGAATATTTAAGCATTAATGAAATTTTGAAGGAGAGATTAAAAAATATGTAGTTATGTTGTGAAAGTTATATTGGAGATCATTTAATAAATAATATTTTTCTAATATATATATATAGATATAAAAGAGAGCAGCTTTAATAGATAGCAAAGTATATTATTTGATAGATGTGATATTGCTGAGAAGTTGAAATTGTAGTGGTAGAAGTTTTTGTATTCTTTAGTATATCAGTGAATAATTTTGAACTTAATATAGTTGTATAGCTGTTTTTTATTTAGATTATTATAGTTTGTTTAGTATATTTTATAGTATTTGATAAACCATAAATCAAAAACTAGCTGGTAGATTTTTTTAAAGAATGGTATACAAAAATCTTGATTAAATTGTTGTACTAGTAGGTTCAAATGAATAATTATTTCTTTATTATTGTTGACTATTTTAAAAGATGATAAATCTGTTTAGTCTTGTATTATATTAAAGTTAAATATTGGGCTAATAGGTTTAAGATCAAGATCTGTAAAGAACTTTTTGTTATCAATAGTTTGGTATTAGTTATTAAGAAATAGGTGCAGATAGGCTATATTAATAGTAATTTGAAATCGATATTTAATAGAACAGATATTTAAGAAATATTAGGATTGTAAAATATTTTGTAATTCTTGTTCATAGTGAAAAGACCAGTTATAAGTTTAGATAAAAGGTTTTTAAGTATTTCTAATATGATATTAAAAAAAAATAAAAGTTTGTGAAAACAAATATGAATTTTTTTCCATTATAAGATCTATTAAGAATTTTGGTTGTTATCTTGTTATTTCTTTAAGAATATTGTCAAAGTTGTTCTTTTTTGAATCTTTGTTTTTGGTTGTTGCTTTGTATATTTGGCCAGGGTAGAAGTTTTTTAAATAAGTTAATAGAAGGATAATAGTTTGTTGTGCAAGTGGTAAAAAGTATATATGTTCTTTACTAGGTGTAAAATTTTTAAACCAGTCAAATTTTGATGTAGAAGTTAATGTTGTGGGTGAAATTGTTTTGTCATTTCCGAAATATTTCGAATTTTGATAGTGATCCGAAATTAAAATTCTAAATTCCAAAATCAGGACGAAAATCCAATATAAATTCAATAAAATCTAATATTTTTGATAGTCTGATTGGCTAGTTTTCGATTTGCACATGATTATTAACCAATTAACTCCCATAATGATAAGGCCATACAAAGTTAAATTTTCGTTTTGCATTAATGATCCTAATTTAAAATTAACACTTATTTAACCAAAATATAAAGCATATCCGAATATTTTAATCATAAAATGCTACAAATATATTCTTTATGAGATTTACTGAATATAATAATTTATAGTATATAGTGAATTTTGTAATTTACAGATTTATTTACATATTATTGTCGGGATGATGCTGAAATTAGAACTTATTTGTTTAGAGTTGGGTTACGATTTAGGAATAGAGTTTATAATAAAAGAGTATAAGTTATAGTTAGGTGGATTTAGTATATTTAGTATATTTCAAATCAGACTGCGATTTTGCAGTTCCTTTATTTATTAGATTCAATATCATCTTTGACATTTATTGGCACATTAATACAGTTAAATAACGCTTTCATATTTAAGCAAAAAAGTTTTCATAGTTTCATAAAATTGAAAATATTTTATATAGCACTGAGCTAATCTGAGCTAAGCAAAAAATGCATAGTACTAACAAAATTCACAAACATATTTTATATTATGTTAGAAAAAATAAATTGTTTAATATAGAAATATGCAGTTATTAACAATATATTCTCCTTTTCAATTTTCTGCTCTAAACAATTGATAATTAGAGCAGGCTTCTAATAATATTTTATAATTTTAGACTTAGTGTTAGACCTAAGATTCATAAATTTAGTGTGGATCACCATTTTTTTTACGTATGAATGTAATTTCATATTTGATGATAACATTGACATAACGATAAATCATTCTATTATATTTCCATTCTTAGACGTTTTTGATAAATTGATTATCAAGAGGCATTCTAACAGAATTTTATATCTTTCTGCCTTTAATAGCAAATTATTGTATATATGGGTCAATTGGATTCAATGATTTTTGCTAAAAAAGTTGTCCTGATTTAGGTTAGGTTTGGGTTGATTTATAGTTAATGTTTGCTAGAGGTAAATTCTGCAATTCTACTAAACCCAATTAATCCAAATAGCCGTATGTTGTTTATTACTAAGAAATACAAGGTTGTCGAATTTTTTTTCAGGAAGGAATGTAGGTCTTATAAGTCCATCACTAAGACATACTAATTTTCAAATTCCAAAATAGATAATGGATTAATACATAGACTAGTACAGATACACATCACTCTTGTATATGGTAAGTTACCATTACCAATAGGCTTACTCAAAATAGTTTTATAATACATTAATTCGGATATTAATTAATGAACTTAAAATCACCTGAACAAGTAAATATACTTTCAAAAAGCCTTAGAAATTAAAAGACCTTGACTACATACAAATTCATAAGAACATGAGTTCCAGGAACAAATCCAAATGATGATGCCAAATCCATAAATATGGACAGTTAGTATAAATTTTTGATCTAACAAAACTTCTAAAATGATATAAGTTATGGCCTATAAATGAAAAATCATTTGCGAACTACATAAACTCCATATATGATAACACAACTGATCCAATACTTATGATCCATGACAAATATTATTGGTCAGATTTGATTCACGTGTTTAATACAGTTTCAAACAGTTCCGAATATCTCAGATTGAGTTTGGATTTTGGGCAATTACAGATTTTATCAGAAATTTCAGAAATTTAATTGTTAGGCGAAACTAATATCGCTAATATTTCAGATTCGGATTGGGCGAAATATTTAGATTTCGTCCGCAACATTAGTTATAGTTAGAAAAATATGATGGCTATTAGTAAAATTTCATAAGGAATATTTTTATTTAGGCCACAGTAGATGGTTTCCTAATAAAAATTTAGTGCTATCTCTGTTTTTTTGTAAAAAAATGGTTCGTTTCAATTTTTATGTTATATCTGATCTTAAAATTCGATTGGTCAAAATTACAGGAGGTAGAAAAAATTTTGTGGGACAGTATATTACACATAAAAGTCAGATCTTATATACAGAAACTGGATTGATTATTGCAAAAGTGCATATACAAGACCTGGTCTCTTACATAATTTTAAAACCTTTTAATAGCTTCTTGATCTAGTATATACTGGAAGGTTATGTTATAAATAGAAAAAAAATTTTAAAATGCATACATGCTTTGTATTTATAATAGGAGTTTAATTAAAAAAAAACTGCATCTGATTAATAAAGCTTGCACCTGAGACAATTTATAGTAGATCTACTACTGTACTAAACAACAAGACAAAAATTTGTTTGATTGGCTGATCATCAGTAATCCATTCTGATATACACTCACAAATAATCTTTTATAATCTTTTACGATAATATCTTGCTCATATGAAATTCAAACCTTTTACTTCAAAAAACGTGTTATTTTATCTTAGTTATTCTAGTTTAAATGTTAAAACTTAACATAATGACTTCATATTAAATACAACTGTTGTCAACTTAAAGTTAGTGGAAGTCGATCTCAAATGCTTATATGATCTTGCAAAATTTCAGACAGACCTAATTATGAAAAAATTTTTTTTTCTATTTACGGATTTGTTTTTCTATTGTAAACAATAGAAAAATCACATAACTTTATTTTTTCAATAGAAATAAACAACTAATAAAAATAAATTCCCATCTTGCTCTACTAAGCGAACAGTACATATCATTTCAATTATTTATATTAATAATAATGATCTTAACCAATGTTTGAAATTAATGTTATCGTGCAAACTCTTATGATCATAGCTATTTTTTGCTATAATATTTTTATGCACAATATGTTACACAAGCCAATATTTGGCAAATACCCAAATATTTAACTGAAATATTTACTAAATACATACATATCAATATTTATATAAAGCAAGTTATATTTGCAAATTACAGATTTAAGCTATGTAAACGCATTATTTATTGTGGCAGATCATAATAAAATCTAGATCAAAATGAAATTATAATATAAAATCTCGAAAAATAAAATTTTTTGGAGTGCATTTTTTAGGGATAGGGATTAGGGTTAGAGGTTAATTTTAAAGTAAAGTTATAATAAACAAGTATAAATAGGTTTTAGAAGGTTAATAGGTTGAGTAGAAAATGTAGATTTCATTTTAAATTATGATTCGCAACATTTATTATAATTATTATTTTTTACATTTCAATACATATTAATAATTATATACTTTTATTTATAAAGCACCAAAATTAAAAGTGCTATTATGGAATACATTTCTGGCAAGAAATTTATCAAGTGCTTCCTTATCTATTTGCTGCCTTTAACCTCCAATTTCTCTGCTAATTTGATCCTGTATTTGCTTTGGCTCTAAGCTTTCACTTTCCAAATTTGGATTACTTTTTTTTTGCACGTTTTGATCAAGATTACTTAATGTATTGCGTGGTGACTTTGGTAAGTTGCTATTTGTTGATAAATTATCGTCAAGATTTGTTGATAAATTATCGTCAAGCATATCTGTATCAAATGTTGCGTAATCACTTGCTAATATAAAATTATCATATATTCCTTTAGATGTTGTGGCTTGGTTAGATTTTCCTTGATCAGTTTCAAATGATTCAGGTGGTAAACAGATAATATTTGTTAATGCATTAAAGAATCTGCTCAAACCTTGTTGCTGCATTACCGTCTTAGAATGCTTATATGATGCTAGACCCTGTTAGGTTTTATGGCGAGTGATAGACATTATAACTGAGTTAGAAAATTCTAATCCATTAATACTTGTACAGACGTTTTTCAGCCTGAATGGTTTGAGATAATTCTATCGCCAATTTCAATGTTTGTCATTTCGCAAATAAGCTGAAAGTAGCTTTTCAATGTTCATTCAGACAGTGCATGTGTA